GCCATGAGAGCCGCCTGTAACTCGAGCCGTGGGATAGACACAGGCTTTAAAGGGGCTAGGCGCGCTTTTCCACCTATAAGAGCCAAATGAACAGATTGGTCCTGGTGGACAAAACGCCAAAACGCCACACAAGCGTAAGCGGATTCACTTGAGTCGGCTAGGACGTGGAGCTGGCATTCCGCAGCAAATCTGGTTCGGTAACAGCGTGGTATTTTAATTTTGGCCGAGACTTCTGCTATACCGGCGAACCAAGTCTGCCACTTTGCCTTAGCAGAGGCGGGCAACTCCTCGTCCCAGTCAATACCCATTCTCCATGTTTCCTGAAATAAGATGCGACCTGATGGTTAGTGGCATCAAAAATCCAAGAGGATCGTAAACCTTCATGAGATGGGACAAGACTACTCTTTTTGTCACACTGGTAGGCAGTTCTGTGGACTTTCTAAAATTAAGAGTATCTTCCTTGATGTTCCAGGCCACCCCTAAAATTCTAACTTGCGAAGGAGATGTCGGTCCGAGACCTACCTCGGATGTGTCGGCAGCCCACAAGTCAGGACTTATTGTTGTAAGCGCTTTGGGGTTGTTGGATACCCATGAGCACATCTCTAAACAGGCTGCTTTATGCACGGTAACGATATCTGCAACTAATCGAGCGGCGAGTTCTGGGCTGTCTACACTTCCAAGGTAGTCGTCCATGTAATGGTCTCTAACAATAGCCTCTGCTGCTTCGGGAAACTTAGTCTGGTGCTCTAAAGCATTTTTATTTTTTAGAAAAATGGCGGTGCACGGACTGGAGGTGGCGCCGAAGATCATGGAAGACATTCTATATTCTGCTATAGGTAGAGAAGGATCGTCTCGCCAGAGAAAACGTTGTGCATCTCTATCTTGTGCCCTAATTTTTGTTTGCGGGAACATTTCACGAATGTCTCCGTTGAGGGCTACCTCACCTTCCCTAAAACGCATGAGAATTCCTAATAAGGGTTGTAAGAGGTCAGGACCAGGGAGTAGCAGAGAATTTAGGCTAACTCCTGAACATTTAGCTGCGGCATCATGAACGAGCCTCAGCTTTTTTCTTTTGGGGTGATATACTCCAAAATGAGGCAAATACCATAAATTACCTAAAGGAGGTACATTAGTACAAAGCTCTGCGTAATCTTTCTCTATCATCCCATTTATATACTGTTTATAAGCTTCGGCATAATTTTGATCCTTTTTAAACTTTCTTTCTAAACTATGAAATCTGGATAAAGCTAATTTATAACTGTTTGGAATTGAGATGATATCAGGTCGCCAGAGCAAACCAGTCTCAAACCTACCTGACGGAAGACGTTGGGTGGTTTCATTTAAAATAGCCAAAGCTCGCTCATCGTTTATGCTGTGGAAGTCCTTTTTTGTAATGCCAATCGAATCGAGATGATAATGTTCTTTTATTAAAGATTCTAAATCGGAAACCGAGCTATGATGGATAAACTCCGCGGATTTACCCGGAAGCCTACCGAACATTGTCCATCCTAGAACGGTTTGGACAGCCACAGGTTGGTTACGAGAACCGCGTCGGATGCCATGCGGTAATGACAAATGCCAATTGTCAATACCAATTATTAAGAGAGGCTTGGCTTCCTCGTAAGACAGTTCTTTTACCAAATCCTGAAGATGAGAGAACTTTGCAACATCTACAGTACGAATTGTTTGGCATGCTACACCCAAATTAGGTATTGAGCGAACTCGTTTTAAATTAAAGGTTTCGACAGAGTGCTTGCCTTTGATGTTAATATCAATGTAGGTTACTACAGAATCTTTCGCCAAGCCGCCCACACAATTAACTTGAATAGTGCCTTTCGGCCCTTGTGCACCGATTGTGTCAGCTACTATTTGGTCAATCAGAGTAACCGTAGACCCGTCGTCCAATAAAGCGTAAATATCCATCTCACCCTTTGGTCCAGTTACAGTTACCGGCAGCACTTTAAGAAGTGAGCGCGAAGGAGGCGTCTCGCATGGTATCGCACTGCTGCCGTGAGCGTGGGCCACAATTACTGGTGCGACTTCACTCTCCGAACTTACTTCACGTTCGCCAGTTGTTGTTGAACTGTAATGAACAGAATTTGTTAACTGTTTGTGAAGTAACTCATGATGGTAATATCCACCTTTGCAATTTATTACCCTACAGTTACCTTTGCAAGTCCTATAATAATGTTTGCCCCGCTTGAGACATCTTTGACAAACTTTATTATTTTTAACCCAATCCCATCTTTCATTAACAGAAATATTTTTAAATAAATCACAATTTGAGACCTCATGACCATTCTTTTTACAGTATAAACAATAAGCAATAGAGGGAGAATTTGAGGGCCTATTGTTATTAACTGCGGCCGTAGATGGAGTAACTTTGCCTTTTGACAACTTACGAGCTATGGAGTTTGAGGCGGTGGCATAACATATGTCACTCGGACTTTCGTCTGAGCTGACATTAGTCGTGACATGCGTGCGAGCCTTTTCTATGGGCTTAGGGCGCGAAATGTCATCGACAATGCCAAACCTCAAATGAACTCGAGACTGATGTGTGAGAAAGGCGGAAAGCAATTCTAATTTATATTGGAACCCGGTATCGGCATTTATGAATGCATAATCAACCCATTTCTCACGTATCAGTGGAGTTAATTTAAGTAGCACACTATGCAACAACTCTGGAGAGGCGAGGTACTCCACAGAACCCAACATCTTTATGGTGTGGACACAGTTGCGTACCACACAAGCTAACTGGTGGAGTTCCTTGCCACCGTCAGATGCTGACAGCTTGGACATGGCCTTAACTTCTGATACTAAGTGACGGATCAGAAGCTCAGGTTGACCAAACTGCTCCTGCAGAGCCTCCATGATTTCCTCTGGGTCTTGCGACAAGGCCAGGAGGGAAATGACAGCATCACGGGCGGCTCCTCGGAGTGCATTATTTAATCGACCTATATTTTCCGTCGCCGAAAACATATTTTTGGAATTTAGATATGAACTTCTAAATGTTAACCAATGAGTGGGTGACGTGCCGGAAAATATAGGCAAGCTAACTACCGTACCTGGGTTAATTTTTCCACTGCTACAACGGGCGAGGTCACTTATGACTTCAGCCAACTTCAGGAAGTCACTGGGTTGGTTTTGTGAAGTGGTAGGTACATGTGAGCGGTCATTTTTATTTTGGTTACAAATAAATTCGTTTTGTGTACCTAACGTGTGTGTCTGTGTACAAGGATTATGAACGTGAGAGGGCGGCTTGGAATGCAACGCGCCGGCTTCATTTGTAGCTCCCAGTGTCGTAGTAGTGCCTGGCTGAGGCACACCGTAGCTGTAGTTTTGGGTGGAGGTTACGCCGTGGGCACTTGATGCTGCCACTGCGTACGGTGCGGGCGCAGAAGGAAGCGCGTGCTCGCGCGTCGCAAATAATACATTTGCAACGCCTGGCGAGACAGCGCGCTTGCGGCCGCATCGTAATGATGCTTCCGGTACTTCCAATGACGGTTGGACAGATGCGATATGGGGCGCGTGCTCGCGCGCCGCGGCACCGGCACTGATGCCAGTGACACAGACGCCAGGCGAGACCACACGCTCGCAGTCTGTGGCCAGCATTGGGCAGGAAACACCAGGCACTTGTGGCGCAGGTGTGTGCTGGGACGGCATAATCTGTCTCTCAGACAAAGATGCGTTAGTATGAGATACCCAATTTTCTACTCTAGAGCTTCTAAACGACTGTGAGTGCAAGCTGGCAGCTTCATCGATAGCCGCTAATTCAGCCTCTAATTCTAAGTTAGCTACCATACGGTCCCGCTCGGCGGCGGCTCGCTCCCGCTCGGCGGCGGCGCGATCTCGGTCGGCCTCGAGCTCGGCTAAGCGACGTGCATGTAGTGCTTTTGCCGCAAGACGTTGAGCTCGGAGTGAGGTCGATGAATGATGGGAGCCGCGATGTGAACCGTGGGGATTAATGACACGTGAAGCGCTAGCGGATACCTCTGAAGGAGGGATATCTAGATCCGTTGGGGCGCTTTGTGCCGCTGCCATACCTCTTGTCAACACCATTTGTTGAAATATTCGGAAATAAATTATATAAATTTTTGTTATATATAAAATATTTAATATTAGCTGGTAATTACACCGGTAGAAGGACCAATATTAGGGCTGGCAACGGCAGTGAAATAGGGTAATATAAATAAAATTACTTACCAAAATTATAGTGATGTATTTAGTGGTAGCGTATATGACACAATGTAGCAAAACAATATAATAAAAAATATATGTCAAAAATTGTATATAAAAATATATGGTTTAAAAATAGAAATATCTATAAAAAGAGGTCTGTCGCCAACATGGCACGCCCCGGTGCAGAGCACCAATCTATAGTGGCGACTGTGCGCAGTTTTCTTGGGACCAATATTACGGCTGGCAACGGCAGTGAAATAGGGTAATATAAATAAAATTACTTACCAAAATTATAGATGTATTTAGTGGTAGCGTATATGACACAATGTAGAAAAACAATATAATAAAAAATATATGTCAAAAATTGTATATAAAAATATATGGTTTAAAAATAGAAATATCTATAAAAAGAGGTCTGTCGCCAACACCACTATTTAGTTTAAATAAAATATATGTCATTATAATACAACAATAAGTTGTTTTATAAAAAGGATAAATTTGATTTTTCGTCTGTAATAGATGAACTCAAAAAATACTTGACCGATATTAATAAAATACTGACTTATAGAAATTAATTTTATTAAGACAAAGAATATTTAAAGCAAATAAAATAACAAAAACAAGTAGAACACGTCCGATCCGTTCCCGGGCTGCTCGTATAATGCCTTTTGTGTCCGAGTCACTGTTCATAGACCGCCATCTTGTGGCCCCCACCACTCTAAAAGCCCGAATTGATAACAAGTATTTTCATAGTTCATTCATTTAGTTTTTAAATTACGAATATTTATAACTCATATATTAATAAAATGTTATCTTCACAGAACCGATTCTGGCGGAAAAACAGAGCACCAAGCACATTGTGCCCAGGAGTCGACCTGAACAGAAACTTCGACATCAACTGGGGCGAAGCGTCCAGCAACATCGCTTGCATGGAGACCTTCCACGGCCCAGAACCTTTCTCTGAACCTGAGACCTCCATCGTCAGGGACATTAAACTGGCACATAGCAACCGTCTCGAACTCTTCCTGGACATCCACAGTTTTGGAAGCATGATCCTTTACGGTTATGGCAACGGTACATTGCCATCCAATGGCCTAATATTACATCTAGTTGGTGTTGAAATGGCAACAGCTATTAATGCTGTCAAAGCTAGCTTCAACCCAGATTACATCGTCGGTAACGTAGCATTAGTGTTGTATCAGGCATCAGGAAGTGCTCAGGATTACGCTCAAGCTATCGGTTCCCTGTCGTATACGTATGAGTTACCAGGGTACAGATTTGGTATTGGAGGCCTTGGATTCCTGGTCGACCCTGATTTTATAGAACAGGCTGGAATGGAGACGTGGGAAGGTATTAAAGTTGGTGCCAGATACGCTCGTGATAACTACAGACATAAGCGAAACATATAAGAAAAACTGTTAAATATACATTTAGTTATATTAAAAATTATATTATTAAATATATATATACGCTTTATTATTTACTCCTAGTACCCTTAAATAGATAGAGGGCCTCGGTGGTCTAACGGTTTAGCACACCGTCTTACTTCCGATAGTCGCGGATTCGATTTTTTGCATGATACAAATATTTGTATTCATGAGTAAGTTATATATATTGGTCTGACTGTTTTCTAATAGAAATATTTTATGTATGTATTTACAAAAAATGTATCTATGTATTTATATCAGTTATCTGATCCCCATAACACACACAAGCTCTGCTTAACTTGGGATTAGATGGCGCTATTTATGTCATATAACATTGTAACTTTTACATACATTCTTACTTTCAGTAACATGTGAAAAAGTCTTCAAAAGACCGTCCAGTATGTGTAGGTGTATGTGGGATTTTTATCCAGTAAAAAAATTACAGGGTATTGAACGAGCTTCTTTCCGGAGACGCGAGGTAGCGTTAGCATTTTACCGCAACTCCGGTGACTTTGGTCCGCCCTGTGGATGGTAGGGAGCGCCCCATCTCGTTGATAGGGCGACCTATTTCGCCCTACACAGTTATCCTTATCCTAACTCCTTACTAATATTATAAATGCGAAAGTAACTCTGGCTGTCTGTCTGTCTCACACGCGAAAACTACTGAACCGATTTAAACGAAATTTGGTACACAGATAGTCTAGACCCTAAGAAAGGACATAGGATATTTTTTAACGCGAATAAAGGGTTGTAAGAGGTTGAAAAGTGAGATGAACGGTTATATGGAAGTATCGTCATTTTTAAAACTAGAATTTTGAAACTTATTTTTAGGCTGTTCATTAAACACATAAATACAAATGAATGTGGATGGTTATAAGGGCAGAGGAAGGCCAAAAAAGAGATGGATGGACTGTGTGAAAGATGATATGGTAAGAAAGAAAGTAAATAACGCGATGACTGCGAACAGGGATGAATGGAAGCGAAAAACATATTACGCCGACCCCAAATAAATGGAATAAGGATGAAGCAGATGATGATTAAACACATAAATAAATGAAACTAAGTTTGTAAAATTGTTACCCTTAATGGGGTAAAAATAGGTGATGACAGTTTGTATAGAATATCGTCATTTTTGAATTTGTTAAGAGGAATCCTTTTTCTTTGCCTTTTTTGGGTTAGATTATAAAATATTTTTTCTATATTTGCTCAACTATATATGTAATACTAGCTGTGCCCTGGACTTCGTGCGCATGTACGAAGTCGCGGGCACAGCTAGTATTACATATAATTATATATATTACATATATAGGATGTTATATAATTATATGTAATATAAGCTGTGCCCGCGACTTCGTGCGCATGTACGAAGTCGCGGGCACAGCTAGTATTACATATAATTATATAACATCCTATGGTACCTTCCACTGGTATCCCGCCAACGAATACCGTTAGCGCGGGGTAGCTCACAGGTATCCATAAAAAAACGTATTTATGTACTATAGATCTGCTTCACACATTTTAATATAGATAACAATAATCAGTACAGACTATAAATAGCAGACTATTTAATCAATATAATATTACTTAATATGTTATTTATGATCTTATCTTGTACTATCATTTGATAATTATGTCGCGCTGTGGCATTGATATATGTATATATATATATATATATATATATATAAACTAGAATAAATAAAATAAAAAGATAAATATGTATACATATATAAACTTCTGTAAACATTTACGCATGCCGTGGCAACCAGTAAATAAGTCAACACTATATACCTGAACTTATTGCAAGATATAATAATTGTAACCTCATAGTGTATGTCTCGTTGGTCGCTCAAATAAATAAATTAATTAATTAATAACTGAAACAATTTTATGACGAATATACTAGCTCACCCCCCACATGTTGTTTTGTTTTGTGTATTAAAATCGCTATTAAAATTAGGGGTTGGTGATAGAACGATGAAAATGTAGGGTTGTATGTATTTTTTAATGCTACATTATAAAAAACATATCAAAAAAAATAAAAATAAATGTTATGGTAAGTGTTAGGGGTATGAAAAATATATAGTAGCCGATTCTCTGAGCTACTGAATAGGCATATGGTATAAAATTTCATAAAAATCGGTCTAGCCGATTCTATATCGATATTTCATATACAGGTTGTCCCAAAAATCGACAATAAATCGGAAGCAGCGTATATACTAGGTATATATTAAAAATAAAGATGATATACTATATGTGTATACATCAGTGGAGACTGCTGCCAAATTTCTGAGATTACCGCTCGCAAACGCACAGACTAACAGTTAACAATTCTATCATACATTCTTCTGCTTTCTATTACTTCAGTAAACTCACCCAATAATATTCTTCTCATACATCTTTCATGTATATAAAGCAATATGTTACATTATTTTATCTATACTAGCTGACCCGCGCGACTTCGTCTGCATTACACTTACTTCACATTTATTATCATGATCATCATCATCTTAGCCCGGAAGATGTCCACTGCTGGACATAGACCTCCACCAAAGATCTCCACGACGATTGGTCCTACCTACTCGCATCCAACGCTTTCCAGCGATAGTGACCAGATCTTCTGTCTTTATTATGATATTTCACACAATTTACATAATATCTTTTTAAATTATAGCCTATCTGTTCTTCTAATATCTATGTTATCTGTAAAGTCTCAACAAAATCCGTTCAGTAATTTTTGTGTGAAAGAGTAACAAACATCCATCCATACGTACAAACTGTCGCGTTTATAATATTAGTAAGATATATTATTATATCTATCTACCCGTGTGAAGCCGCGTCAAGTTACTAGTGTATGAATATACATATATGAATGAGTGTGTATAAATGATGTGTATGCATGAATATACACATATATATGTAGCTGAGTGTATGCATAAATATACACATATATATGTAGCTGGCTGAATTGCATGTTTGCTTCTTCGATTGAATCCCGACTTAGATTTGGTGATATTATTTTAAGAAACATATTTCACTCAACCCATCTGTGATTCAAACGTATCCCTATTGAATAATCGGGTTGTTACTTTGTGATAAGCGGAGCGGATAGTTGGTAATAGCGATTTTGAGGCGATGTATATAGTCTTTGTTCGAAGTGTCTGCGTTGGTACAGCTTCTTCTTACTGTTTAGCCCTAAAACAAGCTGCTTTTTTTTTAATTTGTCAGTACAACACTACAGTAATATATCTAACATAGGAAACGATATAAATAAATACACAGATGAGACAGCCTCGGTGGTCTAGTGGTTGAGCACACCGCAATACTTCCTATGGTCGCGGGTTCGATTCCTCGCACGGTACAAACATTTGTATTCATGAGTATGGGTGTTGTCTATGTATATTATGTATGTATTTACAAATATATATATATATATATATAAGTATTTATACCAGTTGTCCCATAACACAAGCTGCGTACCGTGGGACTAGATGACGCTGTGTCAATTATCCAGAGTTATTTATGAATGAATGAATGAAATGAAATGAAAGAAAAACGAATATAAAATATAAAAAGAAAAAAAACATAATTATAATATAGAGGTAACAATTGGCGGCCTTATCGCTTAATAGCGATTTGTTCCAAGCAACCTTAGGATGGAGAGGAGTGATGAGACTATGTCTGGTTGAGGTATAACAATTACTTATTTATTTATTTACATTTACATTATTTTCTATATATTTTTGTATGAAAGGCGAGATATATTAAAATTACAGGTTACGCATGTAAATAAATCAGGATTAACATTCTCAGCAATGATAATATCTCACGTAATAATAATATCTCACGACGAATTCAAACCTGATAAATTCACATGGAATTTATCAGAATGTTTTACATGAGGAACCGCGTGGAGGTCGACCTGACATGGTACATTGCTAGCGATGAGGTTAATGGTCCACATTACTAACAATCTCCTTATCCCCGAGAGGATGATGAGAAGAATTAGGAAAGGTGACCGTATGGAGTACATAGCTAGGAGAAACGAAAGGGCTCCAAAAATTATTATAAAAAGTGAAGTCACTTTTATTAAAAAAAATTCTATTATCAGTTGACAATTTTAAATTATTCTATTACTAACTGTGCTCGCGGTTTTACCCATATGAAATTTATAGCCTATGTGTAAATGAAATAGAAATAGAAATAGAAAATCATTTGTTCAAATAAACTTACATTGAAGCACTTTTGAATAGTCATTACATTTTTTAATCTACCGCTCATTCGGAAAGCTGTCTCATCACAAGAAGAACGAGCAAGAAACTTGCGTGTTGCTCTTTTAAATAATTTTATTATTACTTTACATTTTTAAGTTTAAGTGTGTGAATACAAACCACCAATTAGCACTAATTCAATTAAATACTCAAATAGAAAAAATATTGAAGATATAACCAACTGGTTAAACAATTAATAAGAGGAAATCAGTCATAGTGATTAGAGCAGACCAGTCCCTACAAGCAGCACTCGTTCACGAGTATGATGGATGAGTCAGCCATCACTGCGCTCGACCATATTTTAGGGAGCCCAATGACCCGGCCCACTACGCCGCCACATGTCTGGATATTTTAGTGAGCATGACTACTCAAAACACTAGACCACGTCAAAGCTACTTACAATTGCCATCTGATAGTTATACTATTCACATTTTACATAAGAATTCATGCGGCAATCAATCTAAAAACCGTTACGCTTTCATATTTCTAAAATAATTAAATCAAGAAAGCAATTCTGATGGATAAGCTATATTATTGTAAAGTTTATATAAAATCCGTTCAGTAGTTATTGCGTAAAAGAGTAACAAACATCCATTACCATACTCACAAACTTTCGCGTTTATAATATTATATTAGGAAAATTACCGACATGCTTACTTTAACTTTATTAATGCAAAATTTATACTCAATTAATTCAAATACATTCAAAATTATTTACGAATGTATAAATAAATATTTTATAAGATTTAAAATAGTCTTTATGCTAAATAGTTTAAAATTTGTTTATTAGTATTGTGTAATTTTCCTGCAATAATTGTCATTTTTCGCGGCACTACACCTTCAACATACCACAACACACCTACACTATAAATGTATATATACGTCCCTATAAAGTCTTAATGTTGGGGATATGAAAAAATCCTGCCCTCTGGCGGACGCGGCGCGCCACACTAGTGACACATTCGATCGCGGGAACGAACAGCGGTTACGGCGGTCATATTAGAAACTTGGTGCAAATTGGCGGATTTTTGGTGTATTTGGGGTGAGTATAGGGACAATTTTATATTTTATTTATTATTTCGTGTACACAAAAGTGATTAGATAATAGACATCGGCAGAGGTATATTTGTAAACGCCCTGAACCAGCGACTTTAACGCGGGGTGAAGAAAAGGTGACGAAATTATTACCACCGAATACCACTAATATATACAAAATTAACAAGTATCAAAATATAGTGACATCTAAAATTGAGTAATTTTGAATTATTTATTTCTGATTCTTAAAATACTTTCACGAAAACATATCTACCTCATTCTAGACTCTAGAACTTCTAGACTCTAGATATAATGGCTTATATTACTCTAGACTCTAGAACCTAGAATCTAGAGCAATATAAGCCACTACCACTGACTATTAAAATCCTCTAGCCTCTAGAATGAGGTAAATATTATCTATCTAAACAAATATAACTCAAAGGTGACTGACTAACATAGTGATCTATCAACGCACAGCCCCAACCACTGGATGGATCGGGCTGAAATTTGGCATGCAGGTAGATGTTATGACATAGGCATCCGCTAAGAACGGATTTTGATTAATTCTACCCCCAAGGGGATAAAATAGGGGATGAAAGTTTGTATGAAACTTTGTCAATTTTAAACCGATAGGGCTCAGACTTTGCATGCATAAAGGTACTATGACGTAGGTACCTCTAAGAAAGGATTTTGATGAATTCCACCCCTAAGGGATAAATTAATACAAGTGAAGCCGCGGGCAAAAGCTAGTGGTTTATATTACTCTGAATCTAAAGTCTAGAGTCTAGAGTAACATAAGTCACTCCCGCTGATTCTTAAAATCCTTCTACGAATACATTTCTACCTCGTTCTAGAGTAATATAAGCTACTCGTATATTTTCCATGAAAATTCCTATGGGAAATTGAGATCACGGATTCCGCGCGGGCGGAAATAATTTTCTAGATAAACAAATCCATTAGGTATATTATCTTACTGATGTTTGATATCGGAGGGCTTTCAAATCTACAAACAATATATATATATATATATATATATATAAACACCTCTTTGGGCACTTTGTTGATCACGCCACAACCTACACACTTGCTGATTCCACCTTTTGCACTGAATAACTTGACTCCTATCGCGTATATCTCAGGCGGTATGGCAACGTCGCATTCTATTTTGCGATGTGGCCATATATATTCGTCGATAGTACGATATACTCGACACTTTTTTTACTAATAATTCGTGACTGAATGGCTCCGAACGGCTAAATTTTTGGTATACACAAAGACTTTTTGGCTCTGAATATATTCCAAAAATCAATTAATTATGTTGATCACTTTATATACTCGTCCTTACTGCGATACTTACTTTCATCCGAATATATATAAATACCGTAACGGTCTATCAATTATGAATTTATTAATTTACTAATGTAGATATTTTATATTCGCAATGCTCCATACATGCAAGCTCCAGCAACGGTGGAGGCAGGGTCCCCCCTGCACCGTACACCGCACCCCGCGCACACAAACAAATTAGATATTTTTTGAATACACAAAGACTTTTTGGCTCTGTATATATATTTCAAAAATCAGTTAATTGTGTTGATCACTTTATATACTGGTCCTTACTGCGATACTTATTTTAATCCGAATATATATAGATACCGTAACGGTCTATCAATTATGAATTTACTAATCTAGATATTTTATATTCGCAATGCTCCATACATGCAAGCTCCAGCAACGGTGGAGGCAGGGGGGAGCACCGTACACCGCACCCCGCGCACACAAACAAATTAGAATAAATTAAATTCATAAGATTATTTATATATTTCGACTGCCTCGGTGGTCACACCGCTTTACATCCGATGGCCGCGGGTTCGATTTCTCGCACGATGCAAACATTTGTACTCATCGGTCATCGATTGTTTTCATCGGTCTGGGTGTTTTATATGTATATTATATATGTATTTACAAAATAAAAATATCTATTTATATCAGTTCAGTATCAGTCTGTGTTAATTGTCCAGGGTTATTTATTATATTTTTATAAACGGTTATCTTTTTCCATCGCACCGCTCGCTATCGACAGTGAATTCATAGAAATGTCACTCTAAAAACAAAAATAGTTTTGTGTTTTGTATTTCAAATACTAAATGCAAAATAGGTATTTTCAAAATACTTTTTAAAAATTAAGTACCTTTTGAATTTTTGTCCAAACCTCAGATATTTTATTTATTTTAGGTATATCAATAATTACATAGTAATATAAAAACAAAGTCGCTGTCGCATCTAACAGTACATAAACAAAGAAAGAAGACTTTGGCTCTGATACCGTAACGGCCTATGAATTATGAATTTATTATACCTAATCTAGATATTTTATATTCGCAATGCTACGTACATTGTAATATCCGCCTCCATTCATTGTAACGGTGGAGGGACTAAATAGTTGAATAAAACTGAATAAGCAGTTGCTCCACTCTATAGGTACTGCGTCGTCGTCGTATGCTGTTCATTTTTTCACTCGTTTTGGCGCCAAGAGAGGGTCACATAGTCGTGGTCAAGTTAAGAACTTATAATTTAATTTTGATAACAATAGATACAAGTAAAAAGTAGGTATTATATTAATGTACGTAAGTACTGTACTTAAAAATATTTATTCTTTATTGTACATTTGAAAAACTTAACACTTAAGGACTTGTACATATACACGTACATACTGCCATTTTCTCTTAAAGACATCCAGAGAAGCACTATTTATCAAATACGCGGGGTGCACCGACCTTTGACCTTATAACACCTGATTCGCGCGTAACGAATTACATTGCTACTTTTTGGTATTTTATAGTGGATATGTCACTATAAAATATTATTATTTCTTTAGATTATGACATAATAACATAGTTTACATGATTTTAAGGGAAACATACAATAAAAAAAAATCCCGTAAAATGTAAAAGATAAAAAATGGTTATTGTTGGTTATCCTTAAGAGATAGACATATACCATCACGGACTTTTTTGTTGACCTTATTTTGATACATCTCAAAGCACTAGACAACACGCATTTTCATTAAACAGTATTGTATTTTTTTATTTCTTTAACTTTAATGCACAAAAAATTTGTACATGTGGCGGACTTAATATTTTGCCGCGTTATTTACCAGGCAACCATGAGTGGTGCAGAGAAAGATTATTGGCGGTGCACTAATATAAATAAGAAATGTCAAAAAAAGATTTATAAAGATAATAAAGATAAGCAAAATATACATTTCTATAAAAAAATAACAGTATACATACATAAATATATATGTAAATATAACCCATAAATGTATAAATATTATATATAAGTAAATACATAATGATCCGATAATCAAATTATAAGTACAGTCTCAAATTGAAAGTAAGAAAAACAGAAAATATAGAGAGAACTATATGGATATAACAGAAAGATGTGAAAAAAGGAGAAGGACAGTAAAAAAGTTACAAATTTAAATAATGTTCCCGCAATTTCTGTTTAAATGAATTTATTACATTATTATATATATTAGGCATACGACTAGCCTTATGACTGTTACTTTTTTTTAATCTATACATCTATAC